CGAGATATAAAGCATTACTCCAAATGTGCAACCCGGAGCTCAGGTTCATGCATACAAAGAAAAATACTAGATATTACGTCACACAGTCAATGGGAAGATGTTTTATTTCATATAAGTGGCAAGTGAAAATATATAAATCAAACCACGGTCACTTTATTTAGTAATCATTGTTAAACTAATGTTATTTTATCAAGTGCTACATTTAGGTAGAACGATGTTTACTCAGTTCATTTTATATAAACAACAACAATTGCGTACATATTCTGGTCGTAAAATACAAAACAGTTGTGAAACTAAGATGATTGAAACAAAGACGACAATTACGAAAATATGTTTTTTCAAAATAATAGGATAATCGCTTCACTATTTGTAAACATGAAATGCATTACAAAACAGAAAAGGTTTTATCTTCAGATATGCATGTCAGTTTTTCCGAATGATTACATTCATTCTATTTTCCGGCGCGCAATATACACACATAATATAACACTGATATACGTTGACAATCAGAAGAAATTTTACGCGATACTCGTAAATGGAAACGTATCATATTGAGGAAATAAAAGAAGTCCAGTAAATGACCGTTGTGTCCGAGCGTCTAGGTACCGCCTCGGATTCGACGAGCAAGGTGAATGTCTTTGGGCATGATGGTGACACGTTTGCCGTGGATCGCACACAGATTGGTGTCTTCGAATAAACCGACCATATATGCTTCGGCCGCTTCCTGTAATGCACCGATGGCAGCCGACTGGTACCTGATAGTACTGGTGAATTGTCCGGTGATTTCACGAACAAGGCGCTGGAATGGCATTTTGAGAATCAGTAGCTCGGTACTCTTCTGGTAACGACGGATTTCACGTAGAGCGACGGTACCTGGTCTGTAGCGATGGGGTTTGGTCTTCACGTCGCCAGATTTGTCACGAGGAGATTTTCGCCCAACTTTTGCAGCTAACTTTTTGCGTAAACCTTTGCCACCTTTACCGCCAGTAGACTTTCGAGCTGTTTGCTTGGTTCGAGCCATATTTGTATTAGAGAAATACAGAAAATACTTGTATTCACTAAAAGGCTGACAGTTTTTGAATCTTCGCTGCCTGACGACAACACTTTTATACCCTATTTAACCGGACCTCGCCCTTTCATTGGCTGATTTCAAAATGCATACATTTGCATAATTATTAAGTGCCAAAGTCCATAGTATAGGATCTAGTAGGTTAATAAATATGGACGATTTATTGTGAATTTGCCCAGTCTAATAGTGTTGACCGCAAATCCGAAGATTATATAAACATTACACTTTAAGACATGGAAAACAAAGTTCACGATAAAAACACCAACATTCAGAAAACAAACTAAAATATTGAAATACACACATAAATTAAACAGAAGGTGGTAAATAATGTTGCAGTAGATTTCCTACCATGTGATGATCACATTTCAGTTGACCGTTCCGTCAAAGGTTGAATAAACGCGGATTTTGCATCGACAACTTTATATATTTAAATAACGATTTTATTAATTTATTACCGAATTTTAATCAGCTGTTAAAATTACGTCATATGAGCAGCATCGCTACACATGTTTACAGTGCCCGTACATTGTTGATTGACTCCATCAAGAACAAAAAAACATATAATGCATTTGTGTTTTTATACAGTTGTGCCAAATGTTTCATTTTGTAGAATATTGTATATTCCTACATCTATGGTACGTGATTTGTCGTACAAGCATTCGAAAACGAAAACCTGCTCTCTAAGACATGTTAATCGTATTTTCACTATAATCATATGACGTAATTTTAACAGCTGATTCAAACACGGTGTTTGGCTGGCGATAGTGCACGACATTTCTACGAAAAACATTTCGTCGAAAGCTGAATATACTATTAAAAACTGTTAATATTGAGGAAATTACGAAAAGTTAGAAATGACAGTTGTACATATAAATCATCAACAATAAAGCGTTTTCCAGGAGGAGTATGCCAGTTTACACCTGTGGTTATTAAGAAATAAACTATATTAACCGAACAGCCCTTGTTAGTCTGTAATGTTTTTCAAATCAGTAGCGTCAATCACGCAAAGTCTGAAATCAACTCTGATGACGTCATTGCTCATAGAAAATAACAATACACGTGTGAAGTGTAGCCTTTCACGTGAACACGAGTCACTGCCTTAACCACCCCACCAACCATTTACACCTCCCCATTGTTACGTAACACTCAGTAAACTCAGTAAAGTGTCGATAGATCCACTGCGATAAAACTGCAAGGTACTTCAGAAATGTTATTGTTTAACGTTTATGGAAATGTATAATGTTATCAAACGAATATATAAGTATTTCTAGTTATTTGCTATTACCTCGTATGTTGAAAGAACAGTGTATGCAAAAAGATACGTAAAAAGTCTGAAGATGATCAGCGCAATTCCATCTGAATGGCATCACAATCCCCCTATATAGACTGTATTGGCACCCAATTACGCATTAAGTATTGCATTAACTAACTAAATACGCAACAGATGTATCATTCCGTGTTAAAATATTTCAGGTGTGATCACGATAGAAGTAAACACGGAAAAAAATATTGGAATACAAAACTGAATACGAAGAAAGCCTATGTCGACATAGCACTCAAATTTATCCGTAATTGGATTATTCACTAGTGCGAGTTTTTTGTTCGAGGTTATTATTTTCATTGTACTATTTAGTTAAAATGGAAAGTAATTCTTCGTTGTTTTGAGTGTCGTTTTTCACGATGTTGTTAAGATTGTTTATTGTGCATTAAATATTTGATACGCATTCTCCCTGATAGCATAGACATGTCTCTGAGCAAAGTGTGATATGTTGGCTTAGGTGGGGTTGGTATAAATTTGAGTCCCTTGCCAAGGGCAATGACCTCTGTTGAGGTCAGAAATCTACTCGAAAAATTCCGAATAAAATCTGAGACCAACCGAGCTCTATCAGCCAACCGTTTATTTTTAGCCAGTTTAGCATTATATTTCTTTATTCGTTTGCATCTTGCAATGTGTTTCTTACGTGAGAAGTGTCTATTGCGTTTTGTGTTATTGATTGCATGGACAGAGTCCATAGTAATAACGGTAGTTCTTTTTTTGGAGGATGTGGTGGCCCTAAGAAGGGCCGTTTGGTTTGTGTGCCGAAGCACTGGTTTATGTGAGGCTAGAAATGCGTTTCCTATCCTTTCGGTGGTGGTGGTGGTGGTGGTGGGGGGTCCTGCACTCTTTTCCTCGATTGTTTGGGGAATTGCCACAGTTTGGCAACAGGCAGAGCCTGATGTCCTTCTCTAGCCAGGCGTTTGATATCTGCAAACGCTTCCTTCTCCTCCTTTACCAGAACGGCCTGAAATTATTTCAGATGTGTCGGTAAACAAATATCCAGTAGTTTAGTGTACTGTTTAGATGCCTGGTTTGAGATAAGTTCCCACTTTTGTAGGAATGCCGTAGACGGCTTCAAACCAGGTATAACGGTTTCATTTGAAACCACTAAACCCTTGGGAATTTTTCCCGATATTGAAAATTTATGAATCTACTTGATCTGATTGACAATAGAAGACTCAGTACGGTAAAGTTTGGATAAAGATTTTACCTTATCCTAAATTGCAGAGAAGAGAGCGTCTGGTAAACGTCTCTATGCTGGCGTCGGTGCAGAATCTACAGGTTGGCTGTCTGTAGTCAGGTCGAGCGTATCAAACACCACGTCGACATCTTCGAT